GGGGGTCCACTGTATCTCAAATATAAAGTGTGGTCCAGATATGGTACTTGTTTATGAAGTGTTTGCTGAGGTTTAATACCTGCTTATTATAATCAGTTATAATAAAAAAGAAGCGCTAAACCTACAAGGGTCAGACAGCTCAGACTACCTTGTTATATATTCATGTCGTACAAAATTTGTCATCTGCCTTATAGTGTAGTGGAAACAGATGCTATATTTCGTGTGTACACTGAGTTGCGGGGTAATATTTTGTGAAGGTATTCAGGGAAAAAGGTTAGCTGGACTTGAGTCCTGGAGGTGGAAGTACAATGCCTACAATTTAAGAGGTTTGGGATATTTGCTGTTTGGAGTGACATCTGAACTGTCTTAGCTGTGCACCTCTGTGAAGACGGTGATACTGTGAATGACGGTGAAAGTGTTTCTTTTTCGGGTCATCTTGCCTCGGTGGGAGACGGCCGGTGTGCGTGTGTATTCTTTCAACAAATCAGTCGTATCCCACCAAGGCGGGGTGGTGCCCCAAAAAGAAAAGTGAAAGTTCTCTTTTAAATTTAGTAATGTATACAGAAGGGGTTACTAACCCCTTGCTCCCGGCATTTTACTCTCCTCTTAAGACACGCACGGCTTACACACTTCCCCATGGAGATGCGTGTATGTGTGTATTAGTATGTCGTGCCGAATAGGTAAAACTTATGATTTTGGTTTAAATAACAAAGCTCTTCTTGCCAAATAAGGCAAGCGAAAATTTGTATATTTAATAATTTCACAAAAATCATTCTGAACCTAACAAAAAAATATATTTCGTTTATTAAATTATTGTAAACTTGCTAAATTAAATTGCGCTTGTTATAATAAGGTTAGGCAAGTTTTCTAAGTTCTTTTGGTACATAATTAATTTTTACATTAAATTCAAAAAATATACCTTTAAGCATATAAGAGAAACCTAGAAAGGACTTTATATATAAGAGGGTTGTATATAAATGTTAAATTTTAATCTCCCTGATAGTTGTCAAGTATTCTTGACAGTCAACAGGTTACATGCAAACTTAATTAAACTCTCATGTGGTAGATAGACTTTAAACTTGATAAAGTAACTAGAGTAATTAGCTTATTTCCACAGTGCATTTTAAAATCCAAAATATGTTGTCTGAAGCAACTTTTTTTTCCTTATTTAGTTTTAATTAGGCTATTAAAAATACATTAAAAATTATGCTGCTCCTTCCTCAAAATTCATACAGTATTTTGTATTTAAAATTCACCCCCCCCTTTTTTTTTTAACACATCGGCCGTTTCCCACTGAGGCAGTGACCCAGAAAAGAAGAAACACATGAATCATCATTCACTCCATAGTAGTGATGGTGAATTAAGTCATGATGGTGAAGGTGTTAGGAATCATGATGGTGAGGGTGTCAGGAATCATGATGGTAAGGGTGTTAGGAATCATGATGGTAAGAGTGTTAGGAATCATGATGGTAAGGGTGTTAGGAATCATGATGGTAAGGGTGTTAGGAATCATGATGGTAAGGGTGTTAGGAATCATGATGGTAAGAGTGTTAGGAATCATGATGGTAAGGGTGTTAGGAATCATGATGGTAAGGGTGTTAGGAATCATGATGGTAAGGGTGTTAGGAATCATGATGGTAAGGGTGTTAGGAATCATGATGGTAAGGGTGTTAGGAATCATGATGGTAAGAGTGTTAGGAATCATGATGGTAAGAGTGTTAGGAATCATGATGGTAAGGGTGTCAGGAATCATGGTGGTAAGGGTGTTAGGAATCATGATGGTAAGGGTGTTAGGAATCATGATGGTGAGGGTGTTAGGAATCATGATGGTAAGGGTGTTAGGAATCATGATGGTAAGGGTGTTAGGAATCATGATGGTAAGGGTGTTAGGAATCATGATGGTAAGGGTGTTAGGAATCATGATGGTAAGGGTGTTAGGAATCATGATGGTAAGGGTGTCAGGAATCATGGTGGTAAGGGTGTTAGGAATCATGATGGTAAGGGTGTTAGGAATCATGATGGTGAGGGTGTTAGGAATCATGATGGTGAGGGTGTTAGGAATCATGATGGTAAGGGTGTTAGGAATCATGATGATAAGAGTGTTAGGAATCATGATGATAAGGGTGTTAGGAATATTGATGGACTATTGAGCATGTTAGTTTGTGGTGGAGCAGCACACCTTCTCTAGAGTCACCCCTTGATGCTGGTGAGGGGCTCTTGATCTAGGGAATTGGATCTGTGCTCCAGTTCCCTGAATTGACTGAATACCTTCCATCCCCCCCCCCACACACGTGCTGTATAATCTTATGGGTTTAGCTCTCCCCCATTATAATAATTCTCTAGTGTGAGGCTCTTGATCCAGAGAATTATAGCTAGCTGCCCTTAGCTCAAACCAGATTACCTCTCATCTCCAGGTGCTGTGCGAGCCTCACGGGTTTAGTACTTTCCTGTGATATTCTCATTTGTGTCATTGACAACTTGTGCTACTTATGATGATAAATTAGACACATGTGCAACTCTTGGGTATCTTTATTGAGGAAACGTTTCGCCACACAGTGGCTTCATCAGTCCATACAAAGGAGAAACGTGAAGAACAGGAGGAGAATGAGGTAATCAGTCCCTCAACCTTGAGTTGACGTGGTCAGTCCATCAATCTTGAATAGAATACGGCATATGTGTGGAGAAGCAACTTATAAACCGTAGGCAGGAGAGGTGCAGTAGTCGTAGGTGGTGTCACATTTGTCCTATGTGGAAGTAGGTCGTGCCCAAGGGTTAGGCAAGCGAAGAATTCCCAACCTAACCCTTGGGCACGACCTACTTCCACATGGGACAAATGTGACACCACCTACGACTGCTGCACCTCTCCTGCCTATGGTTTATAAGCTACTTCTCCACACATATGCCATATTCTATTCAAGAATGATGGACTGACCACGTCGACTCAAGGTTGAGGGACTGATTACCTCCTCCTCCTCCTGTTCAAGTTTCTCCTTTGTATGGACTGATGAAGCCACTGTGTGGCGAAACGTTTCCTCACTAAAGATACCCAAGAGTTGCACATGTGTCTAATTTATCAACGTGTCGGTTCTCTGAACCATTCATCTACAATCCTGTGCTACTTAAGTATTTCCAATATTTACCTTTTGGTAGGCTTCATGTTAGTCAAGTGAAATGGGCATTTTATCTTTCCAGAAATCTGAACTTCACAACCCCAGTAAGATATTTGAACTTCACATCCCCAGCAAGATATTTGAACCTCACAACCAAAGCAAGATATTTGAACCTCACAACCAAAGCAAGATATTTGAACCTCACAACCATAGCAAGATATTTGAACTTCTAAACCCCCAGCAAGATATTTGAGTTTCTCAACCTCAGCAAGATATTTGAACTTGTCAACCCCTGGATGATTTCAGCAGTAACCTCATAACACTTATATTGGGCAAGTAGTTAGTTAAACCAAGACAACTAACATGAAGTTAATATTTCTTCGTGTATTCCTTGCTGTGTATTTTACCTTCTGTTATATGTATTTATTTTATATAAAACTGGTGTTTGTAAGATTTATATTTTGGGAACATGTTTGTGTGTGAGCGTTGCTCATACCTGCGTGCTGCTCATACCAGGATGCTACACCTGGGTGCTGCACATACCTGGGTGCTGCTCATACCTGGGCTGTTTATACCTGGGTGCTGCTCATATTCAGGTGCTACACCTGGGTGCTGCTCATACCTGGGCTATTTATACCTGGGTGCTGCTCACACCTAGGTGCTGCTCACACCTGGGTGCTGCTCTTGCCTGGGTATCACTTGGGCTACTATCAGCCTGGGTAGCACTGGGGCACTATCAGCCTGGGTAGTGCTTGGGCTATTATCAGCCTGGGTAGCACTTGGGCTATCAGCCTGGGTAGCACTGGGGCACTATCAGCCTGGGTAGCACTGGGGCACTATCAGCCTGGGTAGCACTGGGGCACTATCAGCCTGAGGCTACTGTCACCCTTGGTAGTACTGTCCTGCTTAATGTATGAAACTGCCTCTTGCATTTATTTAAACTGCCAACCATATTGTTTTAAACCATTTTATACTGCCAAGTGTTTTATATCTAACGTTTTATACCTTCTAATGTTTTATATCTTCTAATGTTTTATATCTTCTAGTGTTTTATATCTTCTAGTGTTTTATATCTTCTAGTGTTTTATATCTTCTAGTGTTTTATATCTTCTAATGTTTTATACCTTCTAATGTTTTATATCTAATGTTTTTATCTAATGTTTTATATCTAACATTTTATACCTTCTAATGTTTTATATCTAATGTTTTTTATCTAATGTTTTATATCTAACATTTTATACCTTCTAATGTTTTATATCTAATGTTTTTTATCTAATGTTTTATATCTAATGTTTTATACCTTCTAATGTTTTATATCTAATGTTTTTTATCTAATGTTTTATATCTAACATTTTATACCTTCTAATGTTTTATACCTTCTGATGTTTGCTTTATACCTTGTTTTATATTTTGTTTTATACCAACTAATGTTTTATATTTTAATGTTTTATTTCTAATGTTTTATACCCAATGTTTTATGCATTCTAATGTTTATATTTTCTAATGTTTTATATATTTTCTAATGTTTCATGTATTTTGTTTTATATTTATAATGTTTTATATTTATATTTCCTAATGTTTCATATTTATAATGTTTTTTTGTTTTATCTTGCAATGTTTTATACCTGTTTTATATTTTAATGTTTTATAGATTCTAATGTTTTATGTCTTACGTTTATATCTTAATGTTTTACATATTTATTTTCTCATGTTTTATATCCTATTATATATTTTCTGTTTTATATCTTCTGTTTTATACCTAATGTTTTATATCTGTTATTTAACTTATGTTTACCTAATATTTTATATGTGCTTTTAAATTTTTTTATTGACTTGCATTGGTGTATTAATGTAGTTTAATGTTTGCCGTTGTATATTCTTTTTCAAAAATTTACGTTGCTCTGTAATTAACCTGGCACTTAAAAACCACCAGTCAACACTGCAGTAACCACCACTACTACAATCGCCAACAATCTGTAACACTTCGATACAACAACAATCACCGTGGGGTTTTTTCCCACTTAAAGATTATTTTATACAGATGTGTTTCTCAGGTAAATCAACTTGACAGGAAACTTGTGTCCACACATTTCAACGGCAACTTGGCAGAGGTAACCCCAGGTAAGTTTTTTTAAACTCAAATACAGAATTTTAGAAGTATTTTCAATGTACTTGGTGCATGAGGCTACCGAAACTAGGAATTTTTTTTTGATGTGCAATGATGGAGCAATTGACTCGCTGATCTCTTATTTTTAGTACGTTTAGCTTCCTGTTCAAAATTCGTACATCTTGTAACTTTAATGGTAATTCCTAAATTATTGTATCAGTTTGTGTTTACAATATTTAATGTGGGAAGTGGTGAAGCTCGATACTCTTGTCTATCATTAGGCGGAAGAGATACCTAATTGTATAAAGACGTACATCTAACGCTGATATATATTTCATGGAGTTCAGTTTTATGGGCTGGAATGTTCAACACGCTTATTAAATTTTTGCATTTGCTACGCTGCAGTGCAAGATTGTGTGGAATACAAAAAATATTTTGTAGTGTTTTGTACAAGGTTACTTGCTGAAAAGCCAGGAATACAGTATAATGTAAAGTCAGGAATGCAGTTTAATGTAAAGCCAGGAATGCAGTATAATGTAAAGACAGAGGCATACCAGTTTGTCATAAAAGAATTATCGTGAAATCATTGAATGCACTTTGTAAGTTGTGAAACCAAAGTTGTAATCTACAACATTGTCGTTACAAATACTGGGTTGGCTGAAAAGACTGTGGGAATTTTTGGGAGAGCTTTTTGACTTTGATATCAAATGTTAATTTTAAAATTAAACTTGCAATGATCATATTTTATTCGTGGTAGAATTTTTTTTTTTAATCTTAGGTTGCCAAGAATACTGATTGATCGATGATCAAAGAAATTTAATATGTTTCTTTTGAAACTAGTAATAAACCTAGTCTAAAGTTTTGAAACCAGGAACGACCATGGTCTATTGTAAAACTAGGAGTGAACCTAGTCATTGTAAAACTAGGAGTGAACCTAGTCTGTTAGTGAAACTAGCAGTGAACCTAGTCTGCTCGTTTTGTAACGGGTGAACTTGGTGTATTAGTTGTGAAACGGAGTGAACCTAGTCTCCTAGTTTTGTAACTAGAAGTGAACTTAGTCTGCTAGTTTTGCAACTAGGGGTGAAGCTAGTGTATTGTGAGGCTTAAAGCTTCTTTTTGATTATAATAATAATAATAGTGTATTGTGAAACGGAGTGAACCTAGTCTCCTAGTTTTGTAACTAGAAGTGACCCTAGTCTATTATGAAACTAGGAATGAACATTGTCTTATTTGTGAAACTAGTACAAATGTATGTAGTATGTTAGGAAACTAGGAATGTACCTAGTATGTTACAAAAATAGGAATGGAGCTAGAATGTTATGAAATTAAGAATGGTGTTGGAGGATGGACCCTAGTCCACTGTTGTTGGAGGATGGACCCTAGTCCACTGTTGTTGGAGGGTGGACCCTAGTCCACTAGTTGTATGGAGGGTGGACCTAGTCCATGTTGTTGGAGGGTGGACCCTAGTCCATGTGTGAGGGTGGACCTAGTCCACTGTTGTTGGAGGGTGGACCCTAGTCCACTGTTGTTGGAGGGTGGACCCTAGTCCACTGTTGTTGGAGGGTGGACCCTAGTCCACTGTTGTTGGAGGGTGGACCCTATTCCATTGGTTTTGCAGGGTGGATCCTAGTCCACTAGTGTTGGAGGATGGACCCTAGTCCACTGTTGTTGGAGGATGGACCCTAGTCCACTGTTGTTGCAGGGTGGATCCTAGTCCACTGGTGTTGGAAAGTGGACCCTATTCCATTGATTTTGCAGGGTGGATCCTAGTCCACTGGTATTGGAGGGTGGATCCTAGTCCACTGATGTTGGAGGATGAACCCTAGTCCACTGTTGTTGGAGGGTGGAACCTAGTCCACTGTTGTTGGAGGGGGGACCCTAGTCCACTGGTGTTGGAGAGTGGACCCTATTCCACTGGTTTTGCAGGGTGGATACTAGTCCACTGGTGTTGGAGGGTAGAATCCTAGCCCGCTGTTACTGGAGGGTGGATCCTAGTCCACTGGTCATGGATGGTGGAACCTAGTCCACTGGTATTGGATGGTGGATGCTAGTCCACTTGTGTTTAGGGTGGATCCTAGTCCACTGGTGGAGGGTGGACCCTAGGCCACTGGTGTTAGAAGGTGGATCCTAGTCCACTAGTGTTGAAGGGTGGACCTCAGTCCGCTGGGGTTGAAGGGTGGACCCTAGTCCACAGGTTTTGGAGGGTGAATCCTAGTCCACTGCTGTTGGAGGATGGACCCTAGTCCACAGGTTTTGGAGGGTGAATCCTGGTCCTCTGGTGTCTAAGGGTGGACCCTAGTCCACTTGTTTTGGTGGATGGACCCTAGTACACTTTTTTTGGGGGGTTTATCCTAGTTCCCTTGTCGAGAATGGACCCTAGTCCACTGGTTTTGGAAGGTGGATCCTAGTCCACTGATGTAGGGTGGACCCTAGTCCACTGGTGTTTTAGGGAGGATCGTAGTCCACTGGTGATGGATGGTGGACCCTAGTCCACTGGTGTTGGAGTGTGGATCCTCGTCCACTGGTGTTGGACGATGGACCCTAGTCCCCTTATGGAGGGTGGACTCTAGTCCACAGGTTTTTCAGAGTGTATCCTAGTCCACTGGTGTTAAGGGTGGATCCTAGTCCACTGGTTACCTGGAGGTTATTCCGGAGATCAACGCCCCCGCGGCCCGGTCCATGACCAGGCCTCCCGATGGATCAGGGCCTGATCAACTAGGCTGTTACTGCTGGCCGCACGCAGTCCAACGTACGAGCCACAGCCCGGCTGATCCGGCACTGACTTTAGGTATCTGTCCAGCTCTCTCTTGAAAGCAGCCAGGGGTTTATTGGCAATTCCCCTAATGCTTGATGGGAGGCTGTTAAACAGTTTTGGGCCCCGGACACTTATGGTGTTTCCTCTTAGTGTACCAATGGCGCCCCTACTTTTTATTGGCGGCATTTTGCATCGCCTGCCCAGTCTTTTACTTTCGTAGGGAGTGATTTCTGTGTGCAGATTTGGGACCATTCCTTCCAAGATTTTCCAAGTGTAGATTATGATATATCTCTCCCTCCTGCGTTCCAAGGAGTACAAGTCAAGTGCTTCCAAGCGTTCCCAGTAGTTAAGGTGCTTGACAGAACTTATACGTGCAGTAAAGGATCTCTGTACACTCTCTAGATCTGCGATTTCACCTGCTGATGGAGTGTGAATCCTAGTCCACTGGTGATGGATGGTGGAACCTACTCCACTGGTGTTGGAGTGTGGATCCCAGTCCACTTGTGTTAAGGGTGGATCCTAGTCCACTGGTGGAGGGTGAACCCTAGGCCACTGGTGTTAGAAGGTGGATCCTAGTCCACAGGTTTTGGAGGGGGAATTCTAGTCCACTGCTGTTGGAGGGTTGACCCTAGTCCACTGGTGTTGGACGATGGCCCTAGTCCCCTTATGGAGGGTGGACCCTAGTCCACAGGTTTTTCAGAGTGTATCCTAGTCCACTGGTGTTGTAGTGTGGAACCTAGTCCGCTGGTGTTGAAGGTTGGACCCTAGTCTCTGGTGTTGGAGGATGGGCTCTAGTCCACTGCTTATGGAGGGTGGATCCTAGTCTACTACTGTTGGAGGAAGGACCCTAGTCCCCTTACGTTGGAGGCTAGGACCCTAGTCACAGGTTTTGGAGGGTGGATCCTAGTCCACTGATGTTGGAGGGTGGACCCTAGTCCACTGGTGTTTGAGGATGGACCTTAGTCCACTGGTGTTGAAGGGTGGATCCTAGTCTACTGGTGTTGGAGGGTGGACCCTAGTCCACTTATGGTGTTGGAGGGTGGACCCTAGTCTACTGGTGTTGGAGGGTGGACCCTAGTCCACTGGTGTTGGAGGGTGGACCCTAGTCCACTGGTTTTGGTGGATGAACGCTAGTCTGCTGGTGTTGGAGAGTGGGCCCTAGTCCACTGGTGTCGGAGGATGGACCCTAGTCCACTGATTTTGTGGGGTTTATCCTAGTTCCATTGTGAGAATGGCCCTAGTCCCACTGGTTTTGGTGAGTGATTTCCTATCCATTAGTGTGGAGGGGTGGAACCAAGTCCACTGGTGTTGGACGATAAACCCTAGACCAATAGTTTGGAGGTTGGACCCTATCCCTTATGAGGGTGGACCTAGTCCACTGGAGTGGGTTAAACTCCCTTAGTCCAATAGTGTGGAGGATGGATTCTTAAATCCCACTGGGTTTTGGAGGTGGACCAAATAGAACCACTGATGTTGAGGGTGGACCCTAGTCCACAGTTTTGAAGGGTGGAATCTTAGTCCACTAGTGTTGCAGGAGGATCCTAGTCTACCATTTTTGGAGGGTGTACCCTAGTCCCACTGCAGTTGGAGGGTGGAACCCTAGTCCCACTGGTGTGGAGGGTGGACCCTAGGTCCACGGTGTTGGAGGGTGGGGACCCTATCTACGGATGATGGAGGATGGACCTCTTGTCCCTTATGTTGAAGGATGGACCCTAGCCACAGGTTTTTGGAGGTGAGTCCTTGTACTCTGGTGTTGGAGGGTGGGACCCTAGTCCAACAGGTTTGAAAGGTGGATCTTATCACTAGTGTTGCAGGTGGATCCTAGTCTACTTTTTTTGGCGGGTGTAACCCTAGTCCACAGGTGTTGAGGTGATCCTAGTGAACAGTGTTGCATGGTGGAAATCCAAGTCTACTTTTTTTGGAGCGTGGGACCCTATCCACTGGTTTGGAGGGGGGGGGGGGGGGGGTTTTTTGGACCCTAGTCCGCTGGTGTTACAGGATGGACCCTAGTCCACTGGTGTTGGAGGATGGACCCTAGTCTACTCGTGTTGGAGAATGGACCCTAGTCCACTCGTGTTGGAGAATGGACCCTAGTCCACAGCTGTCCGAGAGTGGACCCAAGTCCACAGCTGTCCGAGCGTGGACCAGGTCCACAGCTGTCCGAGCGTGGACGCTAGTCCACAGCTGTCCGAGCGTGGACCCAAATCCACGGCTGTCCTAGCGAGGGCCCAAGTCCACAGCTATCCTAGCGAGGGCGCAAGTCCAAAGCTATCCTAGCGAGGGCGCAAGTCCATAGCTATCCTAGCGAGGGCGCAAGTCCAAAGCTATCCTATCGAGGGCGCAAGTCCATAGCTGTTCGGTCGTTGACCCAAGTCCACAACTGTCCGAGCGTGGACCCAAGTCCACAGCTGTCCGAGCGTGGACCCAAATCCACCGCTGTCCGAGCGTGGACCCAAGTCCACAGCTGTCCGAGTGTGGACCCAAGTCCACAGCTGTCCGAGCGTGGACCCAAGTCCACAGCTGTCCGAGCGTGGACCCAAGTCCACAGCTGTCCGGTCGTGGACCCAAATCCACCGCTGTCCGAGAGTGGACCCACGTCCACAGCTGTCCGAGCGTGGACCCAAGTCCACAGCTGTCCGAGCGTGGACCCAAGTCCACAGCTGTCCGAGCGTGGACCCAAGTCCACAGCTGTCCAGCGTGGACCCAAGTCCACAGCTGTCCGAGCGTAGACCCAAGTCCACAGCTGTCCGAGCGTGGACCCAAGTCCACAGCTGTCGCGAGCGTGGACCCAAGTCCACAGCTTCCGTCGTGGACCCAAGTTCACAGCTGTCCGGGGAGCGTAGAAGCCCAAGTCCACAGCTGTCCGAGCGTGGACCCAAATCCACCGCTGTCGGAGCGTGGACCCAAGTCCACAGCTGTCCGAGCGTGGACCCAAGTCCACAGCTGTCCGAGCGTGGACCCAACTCCACGGCTGTCCGAGCGAGGGCCCAAGTCCACAGCTATCCTAGCGAGGGCCCAAGTCCACAGCTATCCTAGCGAGGGCCCAAGTCCACAGCTATCCTAGCGAGGGCCCAAGTCCACAGCTATCCTAGCGAAGGCGCAAGTCCAAAGCTATCCTAGCGAGGGCGCAAGTCCACAGCTATCCTAGCGAGGGCGCAAGTCCTAAGCTGTCCTAGCGAGGGCGCAAGTCCGCAGCTATCCTAGCTAGGGTGCAAGTCCGTAGCTGTTCGGTAGTTGACCCAAGTCCACAGCTTTCCGAGCGTGGACCCAAGTCCACAGCTTTCCGAGCGTGGACCCAAGTCCACAGCTGTCCGAGCGTGGAACCAAATCCACGGCTGTCCGAGCGTGAACCTAAGTCCAAAGCTATCCTAGCGAGGGCCCAAGTCCACAGCTATCCTAGCGAGGGCACAAGCCCAAAGCTATCCTAGCGAGGGCGCAAGTCCACATCTATCCTAGCGAGGGCGCAAGTCCAAAGCTGTCCTAGCGTGGGTGCAAGTCCGCTGCTATCCTAGCGAGGGCGAAAGTCCATAGCTGTTCGGTCGTGGACCCAAATCCACGGCTGCCCGAGAGTGGACCCAAGTCCACAGCTGTCCGAGCGTGGACCCAAGTCCACAGCTGTCCGAGCGTGGACCCAAGTCCACAGCTGTCCGAGCGTGGACCCAAATCCACCGCTGTCCGAGCGTGGACCCAAGTCCACAGCTGTCCGAGCGTGGACCCAAGTCCACAGCTGTCCGAGCGTGGACCCAAGTCCACAGCTGTCCGGTCGTGGACCCAATCCACACGCTGTCCGAGAGTGGACCCAACGTCCACAGCTGTCACGAGCGTGGACCCAAGTCCACAGCTGTCCGAGCGTGGACCCAAGTCCACAGCTGTCCGAGCGTGGACCCAAGTCCACAGCTGTCCGAGCGTGGACCCAAGTCCACAGCTGTCCGAGCGTGGACCCAAGTCCACAGCTGTCCGAGCGTGGACCCAAGTCCACAGCTGTCCGAGCGTGGACCCAAGTCCACCGCTGTCCGAGCGTGGACCCAAGTCCACAGCTGTCCGAGCGTGGACCCAACTCCACGGCTGTCCGAGCGTGAACCTAAGTCCAAAGCTATCCTAGCGAGGGCCCAAGTCCACAGCTATCCTAGCGAGGGCACAAGCCCAAAGCTATCCTAGCGAGGGCGCAAGTCCACATCTATCCTAGCGAGGGCGCAAGTCCAAAGCTGTCCTAGCGTGGGTGCAAGTCCGCTGCTATCCTAGCGAGGGCGAAAGTCCATAGCTGTTCGGTCGTGGACCCAAATCCACGGCTGTCCGAGAGTGGACCCAAGTCCACAGCTGTCCGAGCGTGGACCCAAGTCCACAGCTGTCCGAGCGTGGACCCAAGTCCACAGCTGTCCGAGCGTGGACCCAAGTCCACAGCTGTCCGAGCGTGGACCCAAGTCCACCGTTTGTCCGAGCGTGGACCCAAGTCCACAGCTGTCCGAGCGTGGACCCAAGTCCACAGCTGTCCGAGCGTGGACCCAAGTCCACAGCTGTCCGAGCGTGTACCCAAGTCCACCGCTGTCCGAGAGTGGACCCACGTCCACAGCTGTCCGAGCGTGGACCCAAGTCCACAGCTGTCCGAGCGTGAACCTAAGTCCAAAGCTATCCTAGCGAGGGCCCAAGTCCACAGCTATCCTAGCGAGGGCCCAAGCCCACAGCTATCCTAGCGAGGGCGCAAGTCCACATCTATCCTAGCGAGGGCGCAAGTCCAAAGCTGTCCTAGCGTGGGTGCAAGTCCGCTGCTATCCTAGCGAGGGCGAAAGTCCATAGCTGTTCGGTCGTGGACCCAAATCCACGGCTGCCCGAGAGTGGACCCAAGTCCACAGCTATCAGAGCGTGGACCCACGTCCACAGGTGTCCGAGCGTGGACCCAAGTCCACAGCTTTCCGAGCATGAATCCAAATCCACGGCTGCCCGAGGGTGGGCCCAAGTCCACACCTGTGCGAGCGTGGACAACAGTCCACTGGTGTTGGAGGATGTACCCTAGTCCATTGTGTTGGAGGATGAACCCTAGTCCACTGGTGTTGTAGGATGTACGCTAGTCTATTGGTCTTGGAGGGTGAATCTTAGTCTTCTGGTGTTGGAGAATGGAACTTCCTCTTCTGGTGTTGGAGGATGGACCCTCGTTCACTGGTGTTGGAGGGTGGAAATTAGCCCACTGTTGTTGGAGGGTGGAAACTAGTCCACTGGTGTTGGAGGGTGGACCCTAGTCCACTGGTGTTGGAGGGTGGACCCTAGTCCACTGGTGTTGGAGGGTGGACCCTAGTCCACTGGTTTTGGTGGATGAACGCTAGTCTGCTGGTGTTGGAGAGTGGGCCCTAGTCCACTGGTGTCGGAGGATGGACCCTAGTCCACTGATTTTGTGGGGTTTATCCTAGTTCCATTGTGGAGAATGGACCCTAGTCCACTGGTTTTGGTGTGTGGATCCTAGTCCATTAGTGTTGGACGATAAACCCTAGTCCAATAGTGTTGGAGGGTGGACCCTAGTCCCCTTATGGAGGGTGGACCCTAGTCCACTGGAGTTGGATAAACTCTTAGTCCAATGGTGTTGGAGGATGGATTCTTAATCCACTGGTTTTGGAGGGTGGACCATAGACCACTGGTGTTGGAGGGTGGACCCTAGTCTACTGGTGTTGGAGGATGGACTCTTGTCCCCTTATGTTGAAGGATGGACCCTAGTCCTCAGGTTTTGGAGGGTGAGTCCTTGTACTCTGGTGTTGGAGGGTGGACCCTAGTCCACAGGTTTTGAAGGGTGGATCTTTGTCCCCTAAGGGTTTCAGGGTGGATTCCTAAATCACTTTTTGTGAGGGTTACCCTAGTCCACTGGTGTTGGGGGGGTGGACCCTAGTCCACGCTGTTGGAGGGTGACCCTAGTCCACTGGTGTTGGAGGGTGGACCCTAGTCCACTGGTGTTGGAGGGTGGACCCTAGTCCACTGGTGTTGGAGGGTGGACCCTAGTCCACTGGTGTTGGAGGGTGGACCCTAGTCCACTGGTGTTGGAGGGTGGACCCTAGTCCACTGGTGTTGGAGGGTGGACCCTAGTCTACTGGTGTTGGAGGATGGACTCTTGTCCCCTTATGTTGAAGGATGGACCCTAGTCCTCAGGTTTTGGAGGGTGAGTCCTTGTACTCTGGTGTTGGAGGGTGGACCCTAGTCCACTGGCGTTGGAGAGTGGACCCTAGTCCACTTGTGTTGGAGGATGGACCATAGTACACTGGTTTTGGGGGGTTTATCCTAGTTCCCTTGTGAAGAATGGACCCTAGTCCACTGGTTTTGGAGGGTAGATCCTAGTCTACTGGTGTTGGAGTGTGGATCCTAGTCCACTGGTGATGGAGGGTGGACCCTAGTCCACTGGTGTTGGAAGGTGGATCCTAGTCCACTGGTGTTGGAGGGTGGATCCTAGTCCACTGGTGTTGGACGATGGTCCCTGGTCCTCTTATGGAGGGTGGACTTTAGTCCACAGGTTTTTCAGGGTGTTTCCTAGTCCACTGGAGTTGATGGGTGGACCCTAGTCCTTTGGTGTTGGACGATGGACTCTAGTCCACTGCTTATGGAGCGTGGATCCTAGTCTACTGCTGTTGGAGGATGGACCCTAGTCCCCTTATGTTTGATGGTGGATCCTAGTCCAATGCTGTTGGAGGGTGGACCCTAGTACACTGGTGGATGAACTCAATCCCTGTGTTTGAGATGGGCCTTTGTCCGCGGGTTTAAGTTGGACCCTAGTCTACGTTTTGGAGGGTGTACCTATCCCCTGTGTTGGGAAAAGGACACTAACCCTGGGTTTTTGGGGGGGTTTTTCCAGTTCCCGTGGGGAAGGACCCAGTCCCACTGTTTTCGAGTTTTGGGGCCCAGTCCACTGGTGTTTTGGGGTGAGGATCCAGTCCACTGAATAGGGGGGGACCCTAGTCCACTGGTGTTGGAGGGGGGAACCTATCCGTGGGGGCGGAGGATACCCTATCCTTTATGGAGGTGGAAAATCCTTGGGGTCGGGGATAGACCCTAGTCCGCTGGGTTACAGGATGGACCCTAGTCACTCGTGTTGGAGAATGGACCCTAGTCCACTCGTGTCGGAGAATAGACCCTATCCACCTTCCGAAGTGGACCAAGTCAAAAGCGTCCGAGCGTGGACCCCAAATAAAACAGCTGTCCGAGCGTGGACCCAAATCCACGGCTGTCCGAGCGTGAACCTAAGTCCAAACTATCCTAGCGGGCCCAAATCCACACTACCTAGCGAGGGCACAAGCCAAAGCTATCCTAGCGGGGCGCAAGTCCACATCTATCCTAGCGAGGGCGCAAGTCCCAAAGCTGTCCGGGGTTTGGGTGCAAGTCCGCTGCTAATCCTAGCGAGGGCGAAAGTCCATAGCTGTTCGGTCGTGGACCCAAATCCACGGCTGCCCGAGAGTGGACCCAAATCCACAGCTGTCCGAGCGTGGACCCAAGTCCAACCAGCCGAGCGTGGACCCAAGTCCACAGCTGTCCGAGCGTGGACCCAATCCACCGCTGTCCGGGGCGTGGACCCAAGTCCACAGCTGTACGAGCGTGGACCCCAAGTCCACACTGTCCGAGCGTGGAAACCCCCGTCCACAGCTGTCCGGTCGTGGACCCAACCACCGCTGTCCCAGGTGGACCCACGTCCACAGCTGTTTCCCAGCGTGGACCCAAGTCCACACTTCCAGCGTGGACCCAAGTCCACAGCTGTCCGAGCGGGACCCAAGTCCACACTGTCCGGTGTGGACCCAAGTCCACACTTCCGAGCGTGGGCCCAAGTCCACAGCTGTTTCCCAGCGTGGACCCAAGTCCACAGCTGTCCGGTTGTGGACCCAAGTCCACAGCTGTCCGAGCGTGGACCCAAGTCCACAGCTGTCCGAGCGTAGACCCAAGTCCACAGCTGTCCGAGCGTGGACCCAAATCCACCGCTGTCCGAGCGTGGACCCAAGTCCACAGCTGTCCGAGCGTGGACCCAACTCCACGGCTGTCCGAGCGTGAACCTAAGTCCAAAGCTATCCTAGCGAGGGCCCAAGTCCACAGCTATCCTAGCGAGGGCACAAGCCCAAAGCTATCCTAGCGAGGGCGCAAGTCCACACTACCCTAGCGAGGGCGCAAATCCCCCAAAACTTCCTAGCGTGGGGGCAAGTCCCTGCTATCCTAGCGAGGGGGAAAGTCCATAGCTGTTCGTCGTGGACCCAAATCCACGGCTTTCTGGAATGGACCCAAGTCCACAGCTGACCGACGTGGACCCAAAATCCACAGCTGTCCGAGCGTGGACCCAAGTCCACAGCTGTCCGAGCGTGGACCCAAGTCCACAGCTGTCCGAGCGTGGACCCAAATCCACCGCTGTCCGAGAGTGGACCCCACGTCCACAGCTGTCCGAGCGTGGACCCAATCCACAGTGTCGAGCGTGAACCCAAGTCCAGGCTTAGCGAGGGCCAAGTCCACAGCTATCCGGAGGGACCAAGTCCCCAAAACTATCCTAGCGAGGGCGCAAGTCCACACTATCCTAGCGAGGGCGCAAGTTTCCCAAAGCCCGGGGGGGCCCCCTAGCGTGGGTGCAAGTCCCGCTGCTATCCTAGCGAGGGCGAAAGTCCATAGCTGTTCGGTCGTGGACCCAAATCCACGGCTGCCCGAGAGTGGACCCAAGTCCACAGCTATCAGAGCGTGGACCCACGTCCACAGGTGTCCGAGCGTGGACCCAAGTCCACAGCTTTCCGAGCATGAATCCAAATCCACGGCTGCCCGAGGGTGGGCCCAAGTCCACACCTGTGCGAGCTTGGACCCAAGTCCAAACCTGTGCGAGCGTGGACAACAGTCCACTGGTGTTGGAGGATGTACCCTAGTCCATTGGTGTTGGAGGATGAACCCTAGTCCACTGGTGTTGTAGGATGTACGCTAGTCTATTGGTCTTCGAGGGTGAATCTTAGTCTTCTGGTGTTGGAGAATGGAACTTCCTCTTCTGGTGTTGGAGGATGGACCCTCGTTCACTGGTGTTGGAGGGTGGAAATTACCCCACTGTTGTTGGAGGGTGGAAACTAGTCCACTGGTGTTGGAGGGTGGATCCTAATTCAATGGTGTTTGAGGGTGGATCCTAATTCACTGGTGTTTGAGGGTGGACCCTGGTCCACTGCTTTTGGAGGGTGGATCTTAGTCCACTGCTTTTGGAAGGTTTATCCCAGTTCCCTGGTGGAGGATGGACCCTAGTCCACTGGTTTTGGAGGGTGGACCCTAGTCCACTGGTGTTGTAGGGTGGATCCTAGTCCACTGGTGTTGGAGGTTGGACTCTAATCCTCTGGTGTTGAAGGGTGAACCTTAGTCCACTAGTGTTGGAAAATGGACCCTAGTCCAATGGTGTTGGAGGATGAACTTTTGTCCCTTGGTTTTGAAGGGTGGATCCAAGTCCACTGGTATTGGAGGATGGAACCTAGTCCACTGGTGTTGAAGGATGGACCCTAGTCCACTGGTGTTGGAGCGTGGACCCTAGTCCACTTTTATTGGAGGGTGGACCCTAGTCCAACTTTTGGAGGGTGGAATCCTAGTCACAGGTTTTTGGAGTGTGCCCTGTGGCTAAAACCTCCCGCTTCACACACGGAGGGCCTGGGTTTCGATTTCCCGGCGGGTGGAAATTCCGACCGTTTCCTTACACCTATTGTCCTGTTCACCTAGCAGCAAATAGGTACCTGGGTGTTATCCGACTGGTGTGGGGGTCGCATCCGGGGGACAAATTAAGGACCCCAATGGAAATAAGTTACGACAGTCATCGATTTTAGGGACGCACAGAACCTATCTTTGGGTTATATCCTGGGTGGCTAACCCTCCGGGATAAAAAAAAAATCCGAACGAAATTCTTATCTTATCCTATTCCACTGGTGTTTGAGGGTGACCTTAGTCCCGCTGGTGTTGGATGGACCTTTAGTCCACTGTGTAGGAGGGTTGGATCCTAGTCCACAGGTATTGGAGGAGGATCCTCGTCCACAGCTGTTGGAGGGTGGACCCTAGTCCACTGGTGTTGGATGATGGATCATAGTCCACTGGTGTTGCAGGGTTGATCCTAGTCCACTTTTTTGGAGGGTGGATCCTAGTCCCCTTATGTTGGAGGATGGACCCTAGTCCACTGGTGTTGGAGGGTAGATCCGAGATACCGTATTTTTGGGAGGGTGGACGCCTAGTCCACTGGTTTTGGAGGTTGATCCTAGTCAACTGGTGTTGGAGGAATGGACCCATGTCCCCTTTATAATGGAGGGTGGACCCTAGTCCCACAGGTTTTTGGAGGGTAATCCCTAGTCCGAGTTTATTTGGAAGGTGTACCCTAGTCCACTGGTATTGGAGGGTGGATCCTAGTCCACTGGTGTTGGAGGATGGACCCTTGTCCCCTTATATTGGAGGGTGGACCCTAGTCCACAGGTTTTGGAGGGTAGATCCTAGTCCTATTTTTTTTGGAGGGTGGACCCTAGTCCACTGGTTTTGCAGGTTGAAACCTAGTCCACTTTATTTGGAGGGTGGATCCTAGTCCCCCTTATGGTTGGAGGATGGAACCCTAGTCCACTGGTGTATAGAGGATGAATCCTTGTCCCTGGTGTTTTGCAGGGTGAATCCTAGTCCCACTGGTGGGTTGGTGGATGGACCCTAGTCCACAGGTGTTATAGGGTGGATCGCTAGTCCCACGTTATATGGAAGGTGGAGACCCTAGATGCACTGGTTTAGTGTTTTATCCTAGTTTCCTTCTGGAGAATGGACCCTAGTCCACTGGTTTTGGAGTGTGGATCCTAGTCCACTGGTTTTGGGGGGTTTATCCTAGTTGCCTTCTGGTAAATGGACCCAAAGTCCACTTGTTTTGGTGGATGGACCCTAGTCTACTGGTGTTGGAGGGTGGACCGTAGTCCACTGGTTTTGGGGGGTTTATCCTAGTTCCCTTCTGGAGAATTGACCCTAGTAGACTGGTTTTGGAGGGTGGATCCTAGTCCACTGGTGTTAGACGATGGACCCTAGTCCCCTTATGGAGGGTGGACCCTAGTCCACACGTTTTTGAGGGTGGATCCTAGTCCGCTGGGGTTGGAGGGTGGACCCTAGTCCACTGGCGGTTGGAGGAAGGCCCCAAGTCTACTGGTGTGGAGGATGGACCCTAGTCCCTGTTCGGAGGGTGGAACAAGTCTAGTGTTGAGGAATGCATCCAGTCCACTGTGTGTGGAGGATGACCCTAATCCCACAGTTGTCTCGATGCGAGACCCAAATCCACCTGGCCGAGCGTGGACCCAAGACGCACAGCTTTTGAGAAGGGCGCCTGTCCACAGCTATCCTAGCGAGGGCGCAAGGACCAAAGCTGTCCTAGCGAGGGCGCAAGTCCAATGCTGTCCAAGCGAGGGCGCAAGTCCCAAAGCTATCCTAGCGAGGCGCAGTCCATAGCTTTGGTCGTTGACCCAAGTCCACAGCTCTCCGAGAGTGGACCCAAGTTCCACGGCTGTCCCGAGAGTGGACCCAATTCCACAGATTTCGAGCGTGGTCCCCAACGTCCACAGCCTGGTCCGAGCGTGGACCCAAATCCAATCCAAGGCTGACCAGAGTGTGGGACCCCGAGACTCACAGCTATCCTAGCGGGGGCCTCAAGTCCAAAGCTAATCCTAGCGAGGGCGCAAGTCAAAGCTCTCCTAACGAGCGGCAAGTCCTCACAATCCTAGCGAGGGCGCATGTCCAAAGCTCCTAGCAGGGCGCAATCCATCGCTATCCTAGCAAAGACCCAAGTCCCAAAGCTGTTCAGGGTCCGGTGGACCCCAAGTCACACGACTGTCCGAGAGTGGGACCCAAAAAAGTCACACAGCTGTCCGAGCGTGGACCCAAATCCACGGCCTGTCCCGAAGTGTGACCCCGAGTCCACAGCTATCCTAGCGGGGGCCCCAGTCCACACTATCCTAGCGAGGGCGCAAGTCCAAAGCTATCCTAGCGAGGGCGCATAGTTCACAGCTATTCCTAGCGAGGACGCAAAGTCCAAAGCTGTCCTAGCGAGGGTGCAAGTCCATAGCTATCCAGCTAAGACCCGTCCGATAGGCTGTTTTGTCTCGTCGTGGACCCAAGTCCACAGCTGATCCGAGCGTGGACCCAAGTCCCAGCTGACCGGCGTGGAACCCAAGTCCACAGCTGTCCGAAGCGAGGACCCAAGTCCACAGCTGTCCGAGCGTGGACCCCAAGTCCACCACTGTCCGAGCGTGGACCCAAGACCACAGCAGTTCCGAGCGTGGACCCAAGTCCACAGCAGTTCCGAGACCGTGGACCCCAAGTCCACACTGTCCGAGCCGTGGACCCAGTCCACAGCTGTCCGACCGTGACCCAAGTCCACGGCTGTCTGAGATGACCTCAAGTCCACTGCTGTCCGAACACCGAGGACCCAAGTCCACACCTGTCCGATCGTGGACACAAATCCACGGTTGTCCGAGCGTGAACCCAAGTCCAAAGCTAACCTAGCGAGGCCGAAGTGTCCCAAGCTATCCTAGCGAGGGCGCCAAGTCCAACAATCCTAAAGCGGAGGGCGCAAGTCCACAGCTATCTTAGCGAGGGCGCAAGTCCACAGCTCTCCGAGCGTGGACCCAAATCCACGGCTGTCCGAGTGTGGACCCGAGTCCACAGCTATCCTAGCGAGGGCGCAAGTCAAAGCTATCTTAGGCGAGGGCGCAAGGTCCTCAGCTATCCCTAGCGAGGGCGCAAGTCCCAAAGCTGTCCTAAGCGTGGGCGCAATCCATAGCTTATCCTAACGAAGACCCTAGTCCATAGCTGTTCCGGTCGTGACCCCAAGTTCCACGCTTCTGAGGCGTTGACGTCCAAATCCATCCGGCTGTCGAGAGTTGAAACCCAAGTCGCACAGCTGTTCCGAACCGTGGACCCATCCAAAGCTATCCTACGAGGGCGCAAGTCCCACAGCTATCCTAGCGAGGGTCCAATCCACTGCTCTCCGAGCGTGACCAAATCCACGGCGGTCCGAGTGTGACCCGAGGCCCGCAGCAATCCTAGCGGGGGCCCAAGTCCACAGCATCCTAGCGAGGCGCAAGTCCAAAGCAAACCTAGCGAGGTCGCAAGTCCTCAGCTATCCTAGCGAGGGCGCAAGTCCGAAGCTGTCCTAGCGAGGGCGCAAGTCCCCATAGCTATCCTAGCGAAGACCCAAGTCCATACTTTTGTCCGTGGACCCAAGTTCCAGCAGCTGTCCGGTACGTGGACCCAAGTCCACAGCGGTCCGAGCTGTGGACCCAAGTCCACAGCTGACCGAGCGTGACCCAATCCACAGCTTGTCCGAGCGTGACGCCAAGTCCACAGCTGTCCCGAGCGTTGGACCCAAAGCCACACTGTCCGCGAGCGTGGACACCAAGTCCACATCTGTCCGAGCGTGGACCCAAGTCCACAGCAATGTCCCCCGAGCGTGGACCCAAGGCACACAGCTGTCCAGAGCGTGACCCCCAAGTTCCACAGCTGTCCGAGCGTGGACCCAAGTCCACAGCTGTCCCGAGCGTGGACCCAAGTCCACAGCAGTCCGAGCGGGGACCCAAATCCCACGGCTCCCCGAGTGTGAATCCCAGTCCCACACCTGTGGCGAGCGTGGGACCCCAAGTACACAACTGTTCCGAGCGTGGACTACAGACCACTGGTGTTTGAGGATGGACCCCTGTCCACAGTGTTGAGAGGATGGAGCCCTAGGTCCACAGGTGTTGAGGATGGACTTAGTCCAAGGTTTGGTTGGAGGGTTGATAAACTAGGTGTTTTGGAGGAGAAGCCCTAGTCCACTGGTGCTTGGAGATGGACCCAGTCCACAGGTATTGAGGGTGGATCCTAGTCCACTGGTGTAGTAGGATGTGATGCAAGTTCTACTTGGCTAGTCCACTGGTGTTTGAGGGTCTAAATTAGTCCACTAGTGTGTAGAAGATGGACCCTAGTCCACTGGTGTAGGAAGAGAGGACCCCAAGTCCACTGGTATTGGAGGTTGGATCCTAGTCAACACTGTGTTGGAGGATGGACCCTAGTCCACTGGTATTGGAGGTGATCCTAGTCAACTTGTGTTTGGAGGATTGACCCTAGTCCACAGGTATTGGGGGGATCCTAGTCCCCTGGTGTTGGATATGGTGGACCCTAGTCCATCTTATTTGAGGTGGATCGCTATTCCACTGGTTTTTGAGTGTGACCTGGGTGGCTAAAACTCCCGCTTCAATCACACACGGAGGGCTGGGTTTCGATTCCCGGCGGGTGGAAATATATCCGACAGGTTTCCTACACCTATTGTCCTGGTTCACCTAGCAGCAAATAGGTACCTGGTGTTAGTCGAACTGGTGTGGGTCCGCAGTCTGGACAAGATAAGGACCCAATGGAATAAGTTTAGACCAGTCCATCGATGACGCATTGACTTCTTTCTTGGGTAGCCCAGGTTGGCTAACCCTCCGGGTTAAAATCCTAACGAAATCTTATCTTATCCTAGTCCCCTGGTGTGGAGGGTGACCTTAGTCGCTGGTGTGTTGAGGCTGGACCTTTAGTCCACTTGCGTTGGAGGTGGATCCTAGTCCACCGGTATTGTGAGGGAGGAACCTAGTCCACTGCATTGGAGGTGGACCCTAGTCCACTGGTGTATGAGATGGACCTTAGTCCCACTTGTTGTTGAGGGTGGAATCCTAGTCCCACTTTATTTTTTGAGAGGTGTACCCCTATTCCACTGGTGTGTGGATGCTGGCACAATAGCCCACTGGAGTATGCGGGTGATCCAAGTCCACTTTTTAGGAGGGTGGATCCAAGTCCCCTTATGGATGGAGGGGGACCCTAGTCCCACTTGTTTTTGAGGGTGGGATCCTAGTCCACTGGTAGTTTGGAGGATGGACCCATGTCCCCTTATTAATGGAGGGTGTACCCTAGTCCACAGGTTTTTGGAGGTACATCCTAGTCCGATTTTTTGGAGGGTGGAACCCTAACCACTGTTTTGGAGGGTGGATCCTAGTCCACATGGTGTGTGGAGGAAGGACCCTTGTCCGCACCCCGGGGGGGGGGGGGGGGGGGGGGGGGGGGGGGGGGGGCCGGGGGGGCCCCCCTTAATTGAGGGTGGACCCTAGTCCAACAGGTTTTGGAGGGTAGATTCCCTAGTCCTATTTTTTTTGGGTGGACCCTAGTCGACAGGTGATGGAGGATGGATCCTATCCACTGGTGTTGCAGGTTGATCCTATCCTCTTTTTTGGAGGGTGGATTTCCAGTCCCCTTATGTGGAGGATGGACCCTAGTCCACTGGTGTTGGAGGATGAATCCTAGTCCACTGGTGTTGGTGGATGGACCCTAGTCCACTGGTGTTGGAGGATGGACCTTAGTCCACAGGTGTATTCTAGGGTGGATCCTAGTCCACTGGTGTTGCAGGGTGGATCCTAATCCACGTTATTGGAGGGTGGACCCTAGTGAACTGGTTTTGGGGGTTTTATCCTAGTTTCCTTCTGGAGAATGGACCCTAGTCCACTGGTTTT